AGACTCAAAACGTTCTGTGACCTCTTGCTTTGTGACGATGATGATCCTTATGTGGAGCATATTCAAGCTGATCTATCCACACCAAGCTGTTCTTCTCAAATCCAACCAGGTCAAATGGCTCAGCCTTCTTATGATTTCTCTTTTCGGCCCTTTACTTCTGTGACACAAAGCACTGCCAATTCTCCTACCAACCTTAATATATCCATGCCGTTTGAGGCTTACGGAAGGCCTGTAGAATTCGTCACGCATTCGATCTCCGTGCCAAATACACCTGCATTTTGTGCTAAAAGACCCCGAACAGGAAGAACTCCCCAGGTGTCTTTGACAAGTCCCGTAACTGTGACCTCTACGCCTTCTAAAGTGGTGCCTTCACAAGTGACTCCCGTCATTCATGGCACCGCCCCTCAACCAACAAGGAACTTGCGAGCTCAGTGGTCACAACTTCAACATAACGAAATGACTTGTCAAATGCCTTCCACTGGAACTCAACCGATGTCCACCTTACAGCCACCAAGTGGACATTATTCGACGATGGGGTCGCCAGAAATGCCGCCCTCATTACATAGCCTTGCTCCTCAAAAGTTAACCCACGTGCCAACTCTATCTCTGCTTTTGATAAAATTGCTCGAGAGCGAAACGACTCCGCCAATTCCAATGGGTAGCACCCAATCTACATCCACCTTGTCGCCAGCGTCTGGACAGTCGTCAACGATGTGGCCTCAAGAAATGCCGCCCTCATTACGTGCCACTGCCTCCCAAACTTTGTCCTATTGGCAACCGCGGTCAGAAATCATCCGCACAGAAATGGCTGCACAAACTCCCATGGGTGGTACTCAATCTACGTCCACCTTGTTGCCAGCGTCTGGACAAACTTCGTCGATGATTCCTCCTGAAACCGTGCCTTCATTTCATGACACCGCTCATCAAACTTTGACTTGCTCGAGATCTCCATCTGAGCAGCTTTCACCTCCAATTCTGAGTCCCCATTTTGATGATACTTCTCCCCAATCTTCAACATCATTTCATTCTGCTACATCAAGGTCACCTACGTCCGCCCAATCGCCTTTGAAATGCACAAGTAGTACATCCTCCTTTCCACCTGCGCCTGCGCGTTATTCGATTCCACTTCTTGCTGAAATGACCTAGGTTGGGTACCGTTCATAGGAATTTGCGCAGCCATTTCTGCATGGACGAATTCTGATCGTTGTGTGGATTTAGGTGCCAGGTTGGGATGCAATCCGACAATGTTTGATTTACTGCTTGTGGTTTATCCTGCGTAATGATCGCATCGCGCCTTGCGTGAGGATGTGGCAAGCTCTCTTAGTAAATTTCACTCACAAATATCGACTTTTGCGCTCTTGTTGATTGCCATGACGCCACACACTGAGCGCCTTTTCAAGAAGACGACATTTCCTCGATTGGTCTGTCAAGAGTTCACATTTGACCAAAATTGGCTCAGAAATTACCGCTAAGCATTCATCACTCACGCGCCACTTCCCATCACTCAACACTACTCACTTATACAAATCCATCTCTCTCGTACATGTCTTTTTATGTATATGAATAAAGTTGGCGTTTCAGGCAACCGAACTACGGCAACAACACTATCCGGCTGCCGGCTAAGTACACGTGTTTCAGCTCTCGATCCACTCAAGACTCCTGCCTGGCTCAGTTGTGGAGAAGACAATGGCACTCGAACGATTCAGATTCACTGTCCAGTTGATATGCTTAGATGGTACGTTGATTGTCTGACTATTGTCTAGACTATGTCAACTCACCTGACTTGTGTTGTAACCATCCTCAGCCATTTATACCATAAATACATATGATTGCTGACTTTCACAAAAAACTATTTTTCGAAGTCCTCCTTCCATTACACGCAATAAAAGAGTCATTTTAATATTCATTCAGCTACTCAGGACCGACGATAAATGGCGCCCATGGGATTGCGTCGAGCTGAAATGAATCCAAGCCATCGTTTGCCTGGTCCTCAAGCATCAACTTCCTTGCCGATTTTTGCGCATCTAAAACTGTCCCCCCCAGATTTCGACGCCGCTTCTCCGTCTACACTGTCTCAGCCAACAACTTCTGAACAATGCTCTGAGAGCCACTCTGCTGAAATGCAGCCTCAGCCTTCTGCGACTTCATCTCAAACTCCAACAAACCCGCAACTCCTCTCCATGGAGACTTCCATGCAAACTATGCCAACCCCACAGATATTGCATACCACTGACGAGCTCTTCGACATGCTCACCGATCCAGACCTAGCTTATTCCAGTGAATCATTACCCTCTACGTCGCAAAGAGATCAAAAATCACAGAATGCTGAAATGCAATGGGAACAGCATGGGTTGAACTTTTCCGAAATGTGCATGCGCAAATGGGAAGCTGAGACCTCTCCGGAAGAACAGTCATGTTCGTGTGCAGACGTTGGTCCTGACATCGTGTCCCTACTGGGCCAGTGTGATGGTCAACGGCCACTCTGCATCATATGGGCAAAAACGGGTACGTGTGAATATGGAGATGAGTGTTCCATGAGTCATGTCATGCCTGAGCACTCGAAAGACTCAGATTCACAGTCCAGCAAACAAGCTTAAATGCTACGTTGTTTGCGTTTATTTTGATAAAAAAAGGTTCGTTGAAGACTTGTTTGTGTTACACACAATAATACCGTCTTTGAATCATTCATTTGGCTACTTAGGACGGATGAGTAGAGGTGCCCATGTGATTGCTTTTGTGTTGGTCTTAATTTGCTCGCCTCGTCAGATTGGGGCCTCGAGATTGGGGTCACAACTGCAGCATGAATGAAAGGAAATAAATGCGCGCGTCATTCTATCGCACCTAGTCCATCGTGCTCTTGTGTAGTCCATTTGCTGCTAACATGAAGCATCGAGGCGAGCTCCATACAACGCTTTTGACTTCCTTGTGCGTTGCTGAAATGCATTAAAATGATTCGCTGATGCTGCTGATGATGATGCTACAATCATTTCCGGTTTTTACTTGGTCGACCTTGGGGGCCGTTGAGAAAAGAGACATGGGACTAGATCGGGTACTGCCATGAGACGCCCCTCATCCACCCAATGACCCACACAACAGGACACACAATAGGCGGGCTTAAAGCCTATAAGCGGTCATGTTTTCTCTCGCCTCTCTTTTCTCTCTTTCGTCTTTACCAGCTGTTAACTAGAGTTTTGTAAGGTAGCGTTAAATAAGTCAGTACAGATGCGTGTAGAGCCAATCAATAACTCTGGTGGCACCAGACGGTAGTTGCATATACGTACTGAGCGATCAGAGTGAATCTGGACCTGGAATCTGGCTTTGTTGGTGATGAGCGGTTGCTCGCAAAAATATAAGAGGGGGCCAAATGGAACGGTGGCCACGGAAATAATAATCTGCATAAGTTGAATCGCAAGATCGCCAAATGGCAGTTAATATGCAGTCAAAGTCAACCTGGTGAGCGATCCAGACAACCTGCTTAGCACTGAATTGTCAGTCAAGACATCCAGTTGTATTTCTTTCACGAACCTGATGACGTCACTAGTTGTTGCACCATCAATCAAATTCCCCAGTTATGCAATGCTGGTTGGCTTAAAATATTCCAAATTATGCAACTGTTGGCATGCATCCAACATTGCCGATAACTTCTCTGCCAACTCACTATTGTGTACTACGCTGGATAACAATTGTGTCGCCTCCATCGACTCTCTGCACGGGCGTCTACGACGGATTTGGGGGAACGTCTATCAGCATGAGTTCGAGGGACTATTAATGTGCCGGACGCTCAAGTCTGTTAGCCGAATCTTTGACCTCCAAGCATTGATTTGGGTCACGACCCTTGTGGGTTGAGAAGCAGTGTCATCAGGCAGGCCGCATCAACGCCCCATTTCATAGCACCTCTCCACTTATGACGACCTACTTGCAGTCTTCATCTGCACCATAGTCATTAGTCCTCCCCACAGCAAGTACTGCGCCAATTCATGTGGCTGGTACTTAACCTACGTTCACTGCATTGCCAAGGCCTATCACTTACTAGACGATGGGGCCTCAAGAAAGTACACCACTCCCAAATGCAATCGACCCTCCATCATCGTCGACTTACTCGCCACCTTCATCTCTACAACTGTCACTGGTCCATCTCACATAAGTGAATCGTCGTCGTCCTCGTTGTCATCAAAGAGGCCAGTGAAAACAAAGGCAGAATGTGGGAGATACCAATCAGCTTGGCGTAAACCATTTCCGATAATCCGTTTTCTTGTAATTATCAACGCAGTACGATGGTTTGCGTGAAGGATCAAGCGTGGTTAGACCAACTCAGCTAGATGGCTGCAACACGCTAGGAGGTACAACATCCTGTTAAACTCAACTTCGATTACATATTTTCTTCTGGCAGTTAGCAATCTCGCTGCACAACTTATGTAGCGTAGTATTTCCGTGGACAGTTTTCAATCTAAACCTTTTTATATTCTCCTCATAAAATAATACATTTTAGCTTTTATGTTACAAATGGCTAAGGGCGGTTGCAACAAACTTCACGCGAGTTGACAGCCAAGACAATTATCAACGTACCATTTAAGCACGTTTGCTGAACTGTGAATCTGAATCTTTCGAGTGCTCAGGCATGACATGACTCAAGGAACACTCATCTCCATATTCACACGTACCCGTAAACTCCAAATCGATACAGGGCAACTGTTGGACATCTCGCTGATCCGGTGATGACCTGATGTCGAAACCAACCTCTGCAAACGGACACGGCTGTCCACCTGGACAGGTTCCGGCTTCTGAGTTGGGTCTTAGTGGTTCGGATATGTACAACTTAAGCAGTACACACTCCACTTCAGCAGTGTGTGATTTTTGATTTCTTTCTTCAATCCCGTCAGTCACGTGCGGAGTGAGCTGTTGAAAGTGAAACTAATTCAAGTCAAGTTTGATCTTGTCCTGGTTAAAAGCCTAATGTAACACATGTTGGAAAATTGGTGTAAGTAATGACAAAATCCATCGATGAGCAATCTTGGGGTATCTGAATCTCCAACAGTGTCGCAGAAGTAAAGCGACGCTTACCAGTGACGAACATGATGCGAGTGCCACTAGTAGTAGGGTTCCTTGGTGATTACACGGTCGATGACAGCTGATTATTGATGGCCAAATAGCTGTGAGCAGTTGTTTCAAAGCAAGTGTGTGCATGTGCGTGTAAATTATGGACCGGGAGTAGAATAATGCGTAGTTTGAAGTCCGGATGTCGCAACACATTTGGCCGTAGACGAAAAGAAGGCGGCAAGTTGAGGAGTGTTTCCATGAATGAGGGGCGCGCTTTTATGGAGCTCAATTGCCAAATACCTCCAAGTCAGTTGTAACAATGAAGGTGGATTTTAAGATTTATTGGAAGAGAATTGGGAGTGTACTTGTGTGGCATGTGCCTGTGACAGGTGTGGAGATGGTGGCGATTAAGGCGACGATGATGGAGGGGCAATTGCATTTGAGAGTGGTGTACATTCTTGAGGCCCCATGGTCAAGTGAGTGATAGTCCTTGACAATGTAGTGGGCGTAAGTTGAGTACCAGCCATATGAATTGGCGCAGTACTTGCTGTGAGGGGGAGGACTTATGACTATGGTGCAGATGAAGACTGCAAGTAGGTCGTCGTAAGTGGAGAGGTGCCATGAAATGGGGCGTTGATGCGGCTTGCTTGATGACACTGCTTCTCAACCCATTAGGAGCATACCCCTACTTTATGCATAGTATTCAAAAATTCGTCTAACATACATGCGTGACCGACATATCCGGTATCCCTCGAAAACACGCTGATAAAATGTCCACAAATCTTCCTCCATTTGCTCAGCTGTCAGCGGATCTTGTCTCCTCACCTCACCTGCAGCCAACCATCACCTACTCTCAACCAGGATCTATGACGCCAGTTCCGTTGGGTCCTCACTACGGTGGCATAATTCACCCAAATATAGGCGCTGACATTCTCAACCACTTTAATCTTCTTTCTCACCTTCAAAACAAACGTCTTATAGTTGCCTTAACGATTGCACACGTCACCTGTTCTCTACAACCTACGTCAACTTTACAACTTTACAGATTAGAAACCGAACAAACTTGACCTTTTAGCGAATGTACCCACACCAGATTAATCCATCGCACTGACAAACCGAAATGCCGCACACGGTTTCGCACGACATTTCATCAAACGGTCACTAAGTCAATGTGCTCGACTACGCACATTTTCCCAATGGAGATGCTCAATGGCTAAACGACTAATTCGAACACATTTAGCACTACACACGGTTGCCGTGAGTGTTGTGGGTGAATGACGTCCATGTGAGGAATATCGTGCGTTTTTAACTCAACAACTACACATGATCCCTATCCACTACCAAATCTGCATCAATTTATCCTCGAGCCTACTCTCCAAATGTGCGAATTCCAGGTTAGATTTGATGCAAGCCAACTATCACGTCCCTGCCAAACCATCTGGTATCTCAAAGACGGCTGTTGCACTTCGCACAAACAATCGTCCTCGAATGACAGACTGGCTCCAAATGAAACATATAGATCCACACCTACAGGTCCTTGGCACATTGCACATCTTCCTCACGCTTCACTTAACACGACGATTTCACACTCCCACGCTCACACACCCACACCCAAATGGCCCTCAGTTGTCTGGTGGAGTTCGCGAAATTACGACAAACAGGATGCCAGCAAAACCTACCATGTGTTTGCGGTTAGCAAAGAAATACACTAATTTATCGGCGCAAGAATGCAGATTTGCGGAACAACAATTGGCCCTGTTGGATGCATATCGGCAGAGATGTAACGTGGAACATTTGAAACCCCAACGATAGGCAATATTACACCAGAACCATTGCTGTAAAGCAGTATTGTTTATTCATACCACACGATGTAAGTGACAGCCCAACAAAACAGGCACAGTGGACGAATTGAAGAGTTACCTGTTGGATTGCGTGAGCGCAATTTGGCACATGGCAGAACAAACTGACAACAAAGACCAATACATTCTGCCCGATTTCATGGGCATGACGGCAACCCGGAGAACATGGCGTTTGATGGATCGTGCGGTACGAAATTTGGGATCTATTTGATAGGAATCAGTGTTCTTGAAGGTTTCGGGACCAATGGGTTTGGTCTAGGCACCAGTGATAAAGAAGGTGCTGGCGCGATCTATGAGGAAATGCTTGGATTGGGTTTGAGGCATGTTGAACATCCACAGAGTGACGCCGAAGACATGATTGGGTGGGGTTCGGGATAGGCCCAACATCCATTGATCGATTCCAAAGAACTGCCCAGAGAGTGTTCCAGTGATGACCCGAAAGAACCACCTGACATTGTATCTGGGGAATTGGGAGATTCCGAGGATGGGTCATGCAAAGCGCTATACAAAAACACGAGTGCACGCCTAGGTGGGGGCGACCACAGCTCGCCATGGTACATTCTTACAGTAGTTCAGATTTTGCGTTTGTCTGTGGAGATGCGATCGATTTTCCCAAACAACGCTGCCAGGATGGACGCATAAATACGCGCACCTATGTGTGAAATAGGGAGCGTTGAAATCACTAGAAGTGATATCAATGCTGAAAGCCAATGAAAAATTTAGCACCAATGTGGCACCATTGCGTAAATAATGTGTCAAGTCTAGCGTGCAAAACCGATGGTGCTAATAACACATTTACTGATCCATCGTCTGATTCTGTTACTCGCCTTCATTAGACTGATTTTCGAGGTGCAAATATCTTGCCGTCGACTCCTGGAAACAATGCTACCTGTTGATTTCTCTGTGTCACAAATGTCCCCATTAAACAAAGCCTGACTAGAACTGTTGTGTTTACGCTGATGGTATCATGGTTTTCGTCACGGTACGCAATTCACATCCTGCTTGTTTCATGACCAAACCTGTATTTTTAGATGCGAATGATTTGGTAAAACGGTGCATTGGACCAGGTTGATTCACGACCAATTACTTGGTCGTCGCACTGTCAGACACATTGAGAACTGCGAGATTAAAAATAAGGAAAATAGGCCTGTGAAAGCAAAGTCTGACTGCGGCAGATACCAATCAGCTTGACGTAAACCATTTCCGATGGTCCGTTTCCTTAAAATTATCAACTCGTTGAGTTAATTTTTTGCGGCCAGGTTTAGCACTACCTCACAACCCTCTAGTTAACAGCCCCTTACAACCCGAGAATAGTCGAAAAGACTCGACAGTGGACACGACCGTTTATTAGTGTCAAACCAGCCAAGTGGCTTTGTGAGCGTATGAGTACGCGTGCGCTACAGGCGAATGCTGATAGTGGCCAATAAAAATAGGGGTGAGTCATTGGTCCACTTTTTTAATATGCGTAAGGAAATCATGACTTAGATCTAAATATTGTTTAGGAAATGAGCAATCAATTGTGTTTATGGTACAAGTGGCTGAGGACGGTCGCAACACAAGTCAGGTGAGTAGGCATAGTCAAGACAACTGTCAGACCTTCAACGTACCATCTAAGCATGTTTGCTGGTTGGTGAATCTAAATCATTCGTGTTCTCAGTTGTAAACTGACGAAAGGATAACTTGTCTCCAGCTTCACACGCACCCGTAAACTCCAAATCGATACAGGGCAACTGTTGAGCATTTCGCTGATCTGGTGATGACCTGATGTCAAAACAAACTTCTGCAAACGGACACGACTATTCGGGTGGACAGGTACCGGTTTCTGAGTTGGGTCTTTATGGCCCGGATATGTACAACGTAAGCAGTCCACATTCCATTTCATCAATCTGTAATTTTTGATTTCTTTGCGACGTGGAAGGTAGTGATTCCCCGGAACAATGCCTGGGCGCCGGCGGCAATGCTGAAATGGGTTTAGCATCACTCAAGGGGAGCTGGCTGCATGTTTCAGTGCAGAGGTTGTGTGGCAATTGTTCCGATGGTGATCGCAAGTGCGTTATTGTTTAAGAAGTAGTTCTTCGATTGGAGGGCATCAAATTTTGTGGGATGCTCGGCGAAAAACATCTAGGCTTTGACAACAAGGTAAACGTAGGTCGACAACCGCTCAAATAAGACGGCAATTACTTACTCAGCGTTGGATCTGCGACAACGACTGGGATGGATATCGCAAGTACGTTAACGTATGTGGTGGATTGACATCAGTGGGTAGCATCGTTTCTAGGAGTAGACGGCAAGATATTTGCAGCTCGGGAATTAGTCAAATGAAGGTGAGTAGTTGAAGCAAACGATGAATATGTGAATGTGTTATTGGCACCATCGGTTTTGCACGCCAGACCTGACAAGTTTATTTTCTCATGTTGTCACATTTGCGCTAATCTCCACGCTGGCATTTAGCATAGTTATCACCTCCAGAGACGTTAACGGCCTCAAATTTACACCTCGGTGCGCCTATTTATAGGCGAGCATGCTTACCATCGCGCATATTTCGTCTAACCGCGTCTTCTTCGGTCATCTTCTTGGCAGCGCTGTTTGAGAACTTCAAGCGCATCTTCACAGACTAACGCTGACTCTGAACTGACTGGTCCTGACATGACGGTTCTATTGCTTTCACCAGTGCCCCTGATCATGCAAGCAAGCATAGCGGAGATCGGTTGAATAAAACGTGACCGAAGATTGAGTTCGTGTGTTAGCGAATTTGAGGTGGTTGATGTAACAGGTGGTCTTGATTACACAGGAACTCATTGAACCACGGTAGCCGATTTCTCCACAGCGGCTCTGTACAGATCGAGGTTCATTTGCATCCGCACTCATCGCTGACTCCCCACGGTTGTCAACTTTACTCAGACTATCTGAACTCTACGGTTGGACATCATCAATATACCAACTACTCCTTCCTATATAATGTTCCACGTGCATCACGGAAGCCATCTACACGAAGGACCTCCACATGATTCACGACCTGCACTTCTTCAAAGAAATCTTGGTTAATTTCGAACTCCTTCCCCTCCCCCTCCACCTCACCACCAAGTCAACCAATACTTCGTCGAAGTGCATTGGTATATCAATCTCCTCACCACCTACCACCAACCCCTACGCATTTGACGATTCTTCACATTTCGACGGACACATTCCAGTCTCAACTCTCATCCCATGACAATTCAGCCCAAACCTCCCCTCACAAAGCCTGCTGCGAAAACGTAGCTTCGTTGATGTGGTGCAAAACAATGGCGTGTGCATTAACACCATTTCCGTCATCTCGATTTGGTGGCTTCGTTGCAGAGATAAGGGCACCTATGAAGCAACAAATCTTATGTAACGTGTTGTTGATTGTCACTAAACAAGACAACTAATCGATCAAAATGTCCGTGTAAAATTAGAAATCGGAATCAATACACACACCAGACGATAGAAGGTTGCGAGACACATCATTTATCGTTCCTATTCGTCTTCTTCTTGTTCTTCTTCCTCTTC